CCTCGAGTTAGGGGACCACCATAATATGCACTGTAAAAACAATCGTAACATACAAGTATTTTACTGTGTATTTTACAGTTTTGTACTGTTTTTCTAGAATATCATTAAATTCACATAAATAGACTGATTTTACATTTCAAATGTAAATTAACGTAAAATCACTGTAAATGTAATAAAACATAATTTTCTTGTTTTTTTACATGTATTTGTCTGTACATATGCATATTTATATTGTTAAAATACATTCACAAATGTATCATAATTTCACAAATATTTGTCCGTTATTTGAAAGATTGAACTGTTAAACTCAAATGTAATGCTATGGAAAAATATATAAAATGATTCTTATAAACTTTTTTTACATCAAATAATTATTATTGTTATTGTTGTTTAGGGCAATCGTGGCTCAAGAGTTGGCAGTTCGCCCTGTAATCAGACAGTTGCCAGTTCAAGCCCCGGCTCGGACACTCTCGGTAGTTGTATCCTTAAGCAAGACACTTCACCTACCACCTACTGGTGATGGCCAGAGGGGAATTATAAAGTGGAATTATAAAGCGCTTTGAGGGTCTCAAAAAGCACGATATGAATGCAATCCATTATTATTTAAACCAACCGTTAACTGTATATTTCTGTATATTTAAGTATTATTATTCATATTGCTGCATTCATTGACCTTGTTTATAGGTAATTTCATTGTTTAATCACATTAAAATGTTCCTAATTTAATGTTTAAAAGCACTTGAGAAAAGCAAAATCCCATGTAAAATTAGGGCAACAAACTGTATTGTCATTACTGAAAATAACCGTATTTTCATGAGAAAGTTATTTTCTGTTATTTCTGTTCTGGTATTATTTTGGTGCCCCAGCTGCTGGAATATTACTGTTTTTTTAGGATTTTTTTTTTTTACGGTGTGGCTGTTGAGTTTAAGGTCAAGATGGTAATTTGTCCAGTGTTTCTTTTAATGAACTAGGTTAAAAAAAATATCAACAACCTCTACCAATTTCAGTTTTACATAATTTTAATGTTATATAATGACTAGTCTAACTCACTTAGACAAAATAGCATAACTAACTCACAAAATAGCATAATCATAGGCTGTTAGCATTGTTGACATGTATCTTAATGTTCCTGCTTCTGTTAATATAATTCCAAATAGCACACTTTGTAAAATATAAATGTAATGTAAATCTAAAATGTATACCTCCTAGTAGGGATGCCACTTGAACTAATATCAACAATACTTTTAACTGCTGAAACACATCCCTACAACTGTTCTAGGTGATTATTAATGCTAAAGAAGGACACCGGAAAAACGACATGGGGAAGATGGCAAAAGTGACAGCTGATATTGTTTTTATGAAATCAACTATGTTTTGTAGGTTAAAATATTTGCAACATTACATGCATGCTTAAACTAGCGTAAAATAACTAATGCTATAACTTCTAACTTTCTGATATCGTGACATGCCTATTAGTGTATTATGTGAATTCCTATACTTCACACTAGTTAGAAATAAAGATGCATTTTAAACCTGAAACGTTATGCTAGCTGCCGCATTGTGCTACCATTTATAACTTGTTGACCATCTGACCAAACATCAATCTTCGACAGTTAAGACGACAATTTAAAATGCATTCCTGACCAAAAGAAATGGTGCTCTTAGCTCATTAGCTAGCATCAGTAGCGTCATGTGGGGTTTATGTTTCTCTTCCTACTGGCTGAAAATTGGTTGGAAGCCCCTTCCTTTACAAACCACAGCGAAACTGGCGACCTCTGCAGGTGTGAAGTATAACACTTCACAAATAAAAAGTCAAGTAATTGTAACACAATACAAATAGCTTAGCAAGCACTGACTGAGAACTTAAGAAAGCCTGGTTATTTTTTTAAACAATTACAACATCAATATTTAATATACATTCATGTTTATCCTGTTATCCAGACTAAAAAATGTTAAGCGATAAGATGGGATCTAGCAGTTTAGTAGTAACACCTAAAAGACAACTAGCAGGGCCGGAAGGAAAGTTAAACGCAGTGCTGTCTTAAAGATAGAAAGCTTTTACGCAGCTCAGCTGTGTATTTAAGCAGCTCAGCTGTGTATTTTTCCTTTTTCAGTGCTGATAAACCATTACATCAAGAGTGATTTGTTCCTCTTAACATTTTTAGAGTCTTTGCGGGTGATGAATCTTGCCTATGTTGACTAAAAGGGTTGCCTGTGTATCATTGTTATAATCCTCATAATACCACGTAAAACCTGTAATCTACATCTACAAAACAATTTCCTCCCATCTATCTAGTCTGGCATGAACAAAAAAAATAACAGATTTGTTTATCAGCAGCATGTAAGAAGCAGCTTGAAGAGGCGTAATGCCCCCATTAATACAAGTCCAATTTCATCTGGAATTACTTCTTTGTCATATCATATCATACCAAGCGTTTACGATTTATGAGCCGACAGTGCACATCCTGGCTGAACACTCACTTGTATTTGGTTGTGATGCACTGTCAGGATATAATTCTTATGCCTTTACCGGCTGCTTTTTGTAATACAGCAATGTCCAAGTTTCCGAATGAAAGACTTAAAATGTTAACAATCAATACATCCTGTCTGAATGAATTTCACTTCAACGTCTTGTGCCCAACTCCGAAACTTGCTTATTTTTGCTTTTATTAAGTGTAGAACATCTAGAGAAACTATGTCAGATGTGTCCATACAGCCTCAGTGAACCCACATACTCATGCACAAGCTGAAGTGAAAAATAAAAATAAAAGAACTGCAACAATGTCGAGGCAAAAGACGAAGCTATGTTTACAAGAAACTCTGACATTCCAGTGCCACTTAGCATTTGTAGTCTTTACTGGACAAACATTTCCTTCAGTGGTGGCTTTTAATTAATGAGAAACTATCATCTACTCTTCTGAGTCGAGGCTTACTGATTACATAGTGCCCCTAACGGTCAAAACCGACAAGAAAACATATGTTAATATGTAGGATTTACATGATTAAGCGCCATTTATTTAAAAAAATGACACGAAACTTAACTGCTTAAGAATTATCTTTGGGTTTGGGACAACCAACTGGTTGTAACTACCTTTGGAAAATGGTAATGTGCAAGGTTACCATACTGAGTCTAAACACTGAATAAATTTGTATTTCTAAACATAAGCCACAATCTTTAAGTTGCCTTATGGATTTAATAACCTTACTAGCTAGCATTATTAACTTTTCTTACTTGATACCACTTTAGCTTAATGTGATAACTGTCTTAAGTTTACTGTTTGAGTCTAAGTAAAGAAGACTCAGGAGAAACACTCTGCTATATTATGAGTGTTATGTTGTGACGAGCTTCCCTGTGCTCAACATCAAAAATCAAAAAGACATCAAATCTGTAGGATAAACATTTCTTCACTTCCTCTTGCTCTGCCTTTGATCTCCTCCCAGTTGTACTCAACTGGAAAACGTCCACAGGGTAGCATTCAGTCGGAATGCAACTTCAATAGGAATGCCACTTACTGAGCTCTTCACCCTGACCCTAAGGGTGGTAGGAAACTCATGTTAGATGCTTGTACTGTGGATCACATTCTTTTGGGCACTACTATTGTTTTTTTGTTTTTATCCAAACAAGAACTTAAGCCATCAATATGACTTTAAAGATGCTGTCCCCTTATTGTGGCTTTACAATTATTAAAAGCTGTTTGTATTGCTCCAATCAGAGCAGTCATTCTGAGGGCTTTCGGTATGATTTTCAGCCATTTATTATTGGGCTCACAGATGCAGACCACAATTTCAATAAACAAATACAAATCCAGTTACATCAGATTTCATTTCTCTAGACAGACGGCAGCCACTTTAACTATCTGGTCACTGCACCAAAGCCTCATTGGCCTCTGCTGGATGAATTTTAGGCACGTAACTGTGGGCCATGTGGTGATGGCATTCACACCACATGGGCCTGCTACAAAGCACCGATCCAGACCACAGCGCGATGGCCAGCCGAGCCAAAGAAAATTGTATTGTTTTCCAATCAGCGCTCTGAGCGTTATGAGGGCTTCTAGCCACAGAAACACTGCTCATAAGCGAGCAGGCGGACCGCTGGAGCAGTCAGCGGAGGATTCCTCACCACTTGAGATGAGACAGGGCAGCAGATGGCAGGAGAAAGGGTGGTTGAGGAATCGGTGTCTACAGCAAAAACCGATCCAGTTAAAATGAACCTGTTCTGCAAAGCAACCCAAGTGGCTGCTTCACCAGAGCTTCTGGCGATCTTCAGAATTCAGAAACCTGTCAAACACAAACTGAGGAACAAAACAACAACAACAACAACAAAAAACCGCTGATGGAAACATTTTTGAAGGTGCAGTTCTCATAGCAGCCCACACCGCTCCACACGGCCTTGACCCATATCTGTGTGTTTTGCCTTCATTTGGGCCACGGCTCTTCGAGGTGTAGAATGTCAAACACAACACCTGTGGCTCTCCACAGCGAGCTGGCAACAGGTTTCTGTCTTTCTGACTCGCTTTTCAAAAACCAGGAAGCATGTGTGGTCTTGTGTGCGTGTGTGCATATGTACGCGCTCTGCGCACCACATGCCTCTTAAAAAGTTCCATCACAGGAAGTTTTTTCTCTTTCTTTTTCTTTTTTTTCTTTGGCATGTTGAGGCCCCTTTGCTCTGCTTAGGTTCAGATTTCTGATTCACACCGACTGAGTGACGTTTATGAGGTGAAAGCTCTAAAAGCTGGTGCAGAATTGGGCTTTAATTTGGCTTTGAGTGGCTGCTGATAAAATAACGGTAATTCTCCGTGGCACTCTTTTTTAATGCATGATCTCAGATATGAGGAAAGAGAGAGAGGCTTCATATCGATACACAACTGCATCGTGCAGGAAATGAACATCTTTATCAGGCATGAGCGCAGAAACTACAAGATGTAAGCCCTCGAGTCTCAGTGCACGCTCCAGTCGCTGTCATTAATCCACGGCTAATAAACCTGAGGGGGGGTACTTACAAGATAGGAATTCTGCCTGTCGAAGAACACGGAGTCTCCCATCGTCCCGAATAATTATCCACATATAGTAAATGATGCAGCTTCAGTAAATGATATCCCAAGTCTCCCCCTCCAAAAAAGAAAAGTGTCTCTGCGCGTCAGGAAATGTGTCCGCAGTTCACTTGTGCGCTCTGCTTCTTCTCACATTAAAAGACAGCGAAAGATGTTGGAAGTTTGGAGACTGCGAGTCACAACAGAACCCCTTTTAAGAGTTTCCACAGCAGTGAAAAGCGCGTGTCAGGAAACGCTCTGTGCCAGAAGGGACACCATAGCGCGTAACGCGTAACGGATCCATACTGCGCGCCCCGCAAACTGTTGTGAAGACAGATGCTGAACCAGAGCGAAGAGAAGCGAGACAGCGAGCAGAGACCTACATCAAGCTGGCAACGCTACTGACTGATACTTCCGGCGTAGTTTTTCAAACTAAGACTTAACCCTGGCCTACGGATACTGTATTACCAGAAACAAACTAAACAAACTGCAGTTCATTTGTTGACTGGAGAACGTGTTTCTATGTTAATCCCTGTCTTAAAGCAAAGTAAACCTACACAGCTTTTTTATGTTTTTATCTTTTGTGTTAAGCACATTGAGTTTGCCCATAATGTTATGTGCTATATAAATAAATCATAACTCCAAATCAAAGGGGAAAAAAACCACTATAACTACACAGGCAAGCTTATACTATACCAGTACATTGACTTTCAACTCATGAGAACCATATATGTGCTTTTATTTTGATCACAAAGTCGCCTCTTTCCGGTCTATTCAGCGTTTTTCTGGGTACTCGATGCTTAAAGCCGGAGAGAGAAAAGCAAAGGATGGGCGGGGCTCTGAAGAAGGAGGACCAGCAGTGCAAAAGCTTTTGATTATCAACAGCAGGGTAGAACAAATGTTTTCATGTCAGTGACCCACAAATGGAGCTCCACAGTTTATAAGATTTGACTGAAGAAACCCCATACTGGGAGGGTTTTCTTTGTGGATAGCTCATAATATGGAGCTATACGTGCTGTTGCAATCAGGCCGGCAGAATACTCCCCAGCAAAACTTCACTATTTTTTGATAAAAGTTGAATCATAACAAATAATAATAATAATTAAAAAAAAAAAAATCTCCTGACAGCAGATTCATTTCTGCCATCCTCACTGGAAAATTAAAACAAACAAAACAAATCAACTTGTTGGTCAAGCTAAAAACAAACTCCTTTAGGGAAAGTTGGCATGTCAAAGATGCAACATTTCTTCCAGCATTGACAAATAGCTCGCTGTAAGCCTAATTACTAAAAGAAATAAATCACAGAGGCGAGAGTGTAACAGATGGACCGCAGAGCTGAAACTGTGATCGAGTGCTTCCATTGTAACACTTGGTAGTAATTTTTGTTTATGAGCTTTCCCCTTTGCAAATATGCTTTCAAGAGAGACCATGAAAGGCAAGTGCCCCTACGCCCTGCCACCAAACCCCCTCTCCACCCTCCCCGCTGGTGTATTTCAAATAAGTTTGTGAAATACTTAATGTGGAACCAGCGTTGAGCAATCTGTGTCAAAACTACTCCACTTGCATCCTGTAGTATCTGCTGTTATTGTTCCATCAATTCAGTTGGTAGACATGTTTAACCAACTCAGTCTACTTTATTAACATTTGTCAGGCCTCTTTGAATCCTCCTGTTTACATGCGTCAGTGTGTAACCCGTTGCTTCCTGTCAGCTTACTTGTAAAATGATGTTACAGGAATACTGCCTCAGACTCTGCATGAACGATAGATGTAGCCACCATGACGTCATCCATTGTTTATAAAGTCCTGTTGTGAAGCACTGGTGTGAGCATTTTGTCCATTGCCAGACTTAGTTTTTGGAAGCCAGATGTGTTTAGGGGAAAATTCTCACTGTTAAATTACAGGAAAGTTATGTCAAGAGTACTGTTTTATTCGGAAAACACAATTTGCAGTATAATAGTGGCAGCTGTTTGATTGCCCTGGTTCTGTTGTAGTATTTCTGCAGCAATATCCACAAATAGTTTACTACTGTAAAATGTAACAGCATATCCTCACCAAGGGTCAACCTCAGATGTGGAAGAGTTACATTATTACGCTCGAGTGGCAACAGTTGCAGTTCCTCTAATGGCCACTTGGGGCTGGTTCCAAAAAGGAGTCAGTCCCCAAAGACTCCCACGTCAAAACGTCCAACTTTACAGCAGTAAAGAGCACAAAACGTATTTTGACATTAAACTGGATTTCTGCACTTTGTGTGTGCACTGTTTGTGCATTTGGAGTATTTTTAGCTGATCATTATAACTAATATGATGGCTTTCTTTGTGCTACAGATCATCCCAGAAGACTGTGCTTCAGTTTTGGTAAATTAAATTCTAGGATTTTATTATACTAAAATTGAACCCATAAGTATTTTGAGTGCAGATCGCTAACCCTGCTAGACAACGTTAGCTAATAACTTGGCACTCCAACCGTTCATCTGTCACGGTTTGCCGGGGCAAGCCGTGTGGAATTATTTAGGACCAGGACGTGGCAGCTCTGGTGCAGGTGAGTATTTATTAACGAAGGAAATACAAACAACAAAGGCACTGGGAACATGAAACTTGAACCTAAACTGGGTAAAACTAACAAAACAAACCAGAAACGAAGATGCAGGTCCGGAGAAATACACATGGAGAGATGCAGGGAGACCGAGGGGAAACAACACAGACGAACCAGCAACTACTATGACAGAAGACACAACTTAAATACACTCAGAGAACACAGGGAGATTACACACAGGTGGGGAACACAGCTGGGAGTGATTAACGTGACGAGACTAGGGAGGCAAACTGAAAACACTCACATAAGACGCAGACCTTCACAATAAAACAGGAACTTACACATGAAAGGACACAAACTAAGAAACGCGGACTAGAGGGCAGAACAGAGTAAACACTAAACAGAGGAGGAACAGAACCAAAATCGCAAGAAGAGAAAACACAAAACGCTGGGTCAAAAGGACCCAGGATCATGACATCATCAGTATAAGGTAACTGCTAGCTTTCAAAAACCAAAATGACAGCATCCAAAACATTAGCATTGCAGCTTCAAAATAGTCCAAAAACAACTTTATGGCTGCCTTTACCATATCTATGTCCAATTTACTGTATATGGCTGTCATCCATTCACTGTGAATTTAGGCTGGTGTTTTTTTTTTAAACCACAGCAGTCTATCAGCTTTGATGCAGTTTCAGATTAAACCATTAAAAAATGGAATCTAGCCACTAGAAATGATGCTGGCTGAATGTTAACACTGTTCTCGTCACACATACACTGGAAAGTCCCTCATACATCCTTATCAGAGTCCAAATGAGAAAAATATTAAACCATCAAAAGGTTTAAATCAGTGATTTGTAATAAACATTCATATTCCCATGAGTCTTTGCACTCACTAATGAAAAAGTATTGTAATCTACCATAGCTATATCCAATAGTGTGCTATTTATATTCATTTTTCCCTCAGTGGCATCAGCACTTACAGCATTAAATTGTCTTAAAACCCTGAAAATTAGTGTATGGAATGTCTGTATTTTTATAGTATTTTTACAATGTAACTGAAAACTAAAAAGAAAAACAAAGTAACGCAAAATTAAAAAGTCCTTGAAACTATCAATGAAAAAAGTTAACATGTTTGGAAAGGTAATAAAAACACAGTCTTGGAAGCCACAGACGTCTAAGACTCCCTCTCTGCTGGCCATGTAAAGAATGCACAATAAAAGCACTTCTGCACTGGCTTTGCTTTTTAAACCCAACAGCTAACTCCATCTTTTATATACAGTCTATCAAGGCTAGTAATAGATATCAAAGTAAGTAAAGCGAAACAAAAAGAGCACAGTGTGGTTTTATCAAAGCGCTCATAAACAAACCCTTAGCAAGAGTTAATAAAACGTATTTGCGCTGCTCTGTGGGTGTTATTGAGAAATATCTGTTTTCTAATCTTATATACAGAACGTGTGAACGGGTTGGTAGGAAAAATGAGAAACTGGATTCCTCACTTATCAGATAGTACCTTTTAAAGAATGCCGAGGAGTTCATAGGAGCACTCACTTTAAAATCAGCAGATAACAGATTCCTTAACTCCCGAAGACTGACTCAGCCTTAAAGCAGGTGCTGTGGTGTACAATATACTTTGTATCTCACACAAGAATCATCAAGACACTGCACTGATATAAAGTTACCAGCTAAAAAAACACATGCTCTTGCAGACAATAGACTCCTGCTTATCAGATCTTCTCCACAAGGTTTTGAATGAGATGTGTTTATTGTTTACGACAAGTTAATCATCTTTGGATTAAATGAAATCAGCAGTGTGGTTTTTCATTCACATATTTGCACTTTTTTTTAATGAACTTTATTTGTGCGTGTAGCTGATGAAATTTCACCTTATGATTTGTGCTGTGTGTCTTTTTTTGTGACGTGTCCTGAGTCAGAGTTGCAGAGTCGCTGAAGCCTATCCTGGCATGCATAACGCAGGTAGATGCATATTTCTATCTGTAAAATCTCTTGTGTTTGGAATGTTGACGAGCACCAAAAACACAAAAGAAGCGCCATGAGTGAATGACTTTTTGATAGGCAAATGTTCTAATTCAAACGTTTGGTCAGGTTTTAGTCATTTAAACTGCAGCTGTAAGCACTCCTGGCAGGAGACTTGCTTACCAAAAATGACTAAACAAGTGACTCAATGTTTAAAAAAAAAAGGTGTTTTGTTTTGCAAATAAAAGCTCCAACTGCCCCTTTAAGGTTGCTAAAATTAACACTGGATGCTCTCCCTCACTGATAAATCTGTAATACAAATATTTCAAAAGTTGCTATAAACCAAAGGAGAAGTCCCATAACATTAGCACCGCAGTTCCTTTAACGGCTACTTGAGGGCAGCTGCAAAAGTGAGTCAATCAGGAGCTTATGTCTTCTTCTATAATAACGTTACAGGGGAGATTTTTTTTTTTTTTAAATGGCCAGTGTGACAGTGCAGATAGTTTGTGTGGTCAGCAAACTGGACTTTTCGGCCATAGCATTTCATGCAACTGTGGGACAAATAATATGGCCTATTATTGTTCTTGGTGTTAGTATTTCATTAGTCTGTTATTTAGTGTCTTCATAGCTTAGCAGTTTAAAGATTTGCCAACGCATGAACAGTTGTGGTTTTGTCACGAACGGCATCTGAGGCAACAATCTGACAAATCAACTATGTGGCGTTATCAGGTGTAGCTGAGAGAATCTGCTAGTAGTTAGCACTATTTAGCAGAGGTGTGGACTCGAGTCACATGACTTGGACTCGAGTCAGACTCGAGTCATTAATTTTATGACTTTAGACTTGACTTGAAAAAATGTTCTAAGACTTGTGACTTGACTTGGACTTTTACACCAATGACTTGGGACTTGAATTGGACTTGAACCGGTTTACTTGAAAAGACTTGATATTTACCCCAAATATAAAATTTAACATGCATATTATATAGAGATTGAAAATGTGACGTCATTCACGGGTAGAACCGCAAAGGATTCTGGGAACTCGTGGCAAGCGGTACTAGCGCACGCAGGCTTTCAATTGAAATCAGTCACACAGCGATAAAAAGAAACACAAAAATGTCAAGAAGCTGTTGTATTATTAACTGCAATAGCCGGTCGCATGACAGCCACGGGAAGCCGACGGGTAAAGAGATCGGTTGTTATCGGATTACGTCGTTGAAGAGAAATTGTTCGAGCCATGTTTCCGAAGTAACAAAGAGGCGACGGATGGCCTGGATTGCAGCCATTCAAAGACCAAATATAACGTCCCAGAACACTCCAGCTCACAGGTTAGTCTGCTCCAAGCATTTACACGAAGGTCAGTGTTTTTTAGTAGTTAATACGTCATTTTCATAACATAATTGGTGATATAGGTTACAAGCAAGTCTGGCGCTGAACAGAAATTGTTGCGCTATGCTCCTTTATTTATTGTGCATAAATAGTGAATTGTCCTGACACAATATTGCGTTTCGCTTCTGTTATTATGGTACATTGACAAAAACATATACTTTTATTCACAGGATAAAACAGTTGTTTTTGTATCACTAATTGCCCAGTACGATTACAGCATACAGTATTATTGTCACTGCTACATTTCTGTAACGCGTACCAGAAATTATTTCCACTACTAATTAATTACCGTTGAGCTCAAAGGTCCTATTAATAAACGGTTAACGAATGTGTATTTATGACAGACGATTTGTGAGACTGGTAAACTTATGATACGTACGATGGTCTTTCTTCTACACGGTGCATTTCAAGGTCCTGCACCCATCCGTCGGTAAACTGTACCTGGGCTTGTTGCAGTGACCGAAGTTACTAAACTTCATGAGTGTATGCACTCACTCCAAGAACCGTATGATTATAAATATGCATATAAATATGCTACGATGAGATAGCTGACTTCATC